GCCAGAATGGCTGGCTCCTTCCCCTGCTGCCAATGGCGAGATCCTTTCCTGCCGCTAGAGTGGCCGGCCCTTCTTCCCCCTTGCCAAAGCGGGCGCCTACTCTCCCTGCTGCCAGAGCAGCCAGCCCCTCTTCTCCCTCCCACCAGAGCAGCCAGCCTCTCTTCCACTCCCTGCCCCTGGCCAGAACGGCCAGTCCCTCTTCCCCCACCACCAAAGCAGCCGGCCCCTCTTCTGCCCCCAGCCAGAACAGCCAGCCCCTCTTCCCTCCCACACCAGAGTGGTCAGATCCTTCCCCTGCTGCCAGAGTGGCCAGGCCCGTCCCCACCACCATCAGTGGCTGGCGAGTTCCTCTTCTGGTACCAACTAAACCCTTCTGCTGCCCCTTGTGCCATAGTTTTTTACAGCCCGTGCATAACCAAGACGGTGCCGTGATGGAGACATCATCTTTCACCACGGCGGGTGTCTAACACTGATGTAAGGTGGGACATGGTGCTGAAACTGGCTCTTACGTCTGCTGTACCAGAGTGCCAGGAAAGTGCCAAACATGCCAGCAAAGCCCTTAGGCTCTGCAGGCTAGAGACCTGTGGATACAGGGTGTCCCCTTTACTAGGCTGTTCCATGGTGCTCCCAACTGTAGTGTGCCTCCCAGCCAGACATGAATTCACCTTCCCAACCCTATGGGAAAAAAACATTCTATCTTGATTTTAAAATGGTCAGCGAGAGAGAATCTTCCACAACACTTGCTAAATTGTTCCAATGGTTAATTACTTGCTCCATTAGACACTTACTTCTTATTTCCAGTATAAATTTGTCTAGCTTCAACTTCCAGTCACTGGATGATGTTAGACCTTTCTCTGCTTGGCATAGATTCCAAGGTCAGAAAGGACCACTGTGATTACTTAGTCTGACCTCCTGTACAACACAGGCCAAAGAATTTCCCCAAAATAATTTCTTTTGTATGATTTCTTGTGTCCACATTTAAAGGGGTGACAACAGCCCAGTCAACTCGAAATCCTGACAATTTTTAAAGGGAGTGTTAAAAGTGATGCTAAGTCCTATCCCTACCCCATCCCTGTTTTCCCACTGAAAAGCACAGTGGATTTACATTCATTTTCCTATTTTAAAAATGTCTCTCCCTCCTCTGTGGGTGTGTGACAAACCCACACAAACTGACTGACTGACAATGACTGCATGGAGAGTGCTACCAACTGCCCACAGTAGACAAACTGAAAACATAGGGACAAATACTAATGTGCTTTCATCTCTTTCAGTTATTGGAATCTCAGGTGTCACTGGCAACTAGCAGATGAAACACTGCCACACAGAAGTGACAATACCCCTTTAAACAGAGATAAGGGGCAGGGGATGTGGGGGAAACTCCATGGGACAAAGCAGGAGAGATGGGAAGGGAACTCTGGTGGAGCCAGACTGGGGAGAAGCGGGAGGGGGCGGGGAAGAACTTGAAGGGGAATGTGGGGGAAATTCAAAGGGGAGCCAACCTGGGGGATGGGCAGAAACGATGGGATTGACGAGGAGAATATACTGAACTGACAAGAAGCTGAAGCAAGGAATCGACATAGGGTGTTTGTAAACGAGGCAAATTCATATACATCTGCACAAATGAGGGCACTGCATCCTTCCTGTGAAATCACCGGCTTTCCCAATTCTTACCCTTGATGCTGCTGCTGTCACATGCAGCTCTTGTATCCTCACTCAAGGGGCTGTGACGTAAAGCAGACTCTACTATCTTTGCAAAATCCCTCCCTTCCACCCCAGTCCTAAACAGTCACAAATATACCCATAGCCACAAGGAAATGGCCAGAATGACACTCTACATTTATTTGCCCAGCATTGCTCCATGTCTCTATGACCACATCAGCATGTTCTAGGAAGAATCTCTATGGTTAGAGTCCTCCCGTAGTGAGGTCTTTATTAGAGTCCTTTCTGAAGGACACTAACTAGAGACCTCGCAGACTTTGCTGGGGAGGGAACATGCCAAGGGACAAAGATTCACTGTTTATGCATTTGTTGAAGTTCTATGCTAGGAGTGGCCAAACTTACTGACCCTCTGAGCCACACACAATAATCTTCAGAAGTTCGAGAGCTGCAAGATACACACAACCTGCCCCGCAAGGCGGCGCCTGCCAGTGTGTGGGGCTTCTGCCCCGATTCCCCTCTGCTGGGCTAAAACCCTTAGACCCCCCTTCCCGCAGGGCAGAAGCCTCTAGTCCCACCACTGGGCAGAAGCCTTGAGCTTCCCCCTGCCCAGTCTTGTAGGTGGAAAATTGGAGGAGTGTATGGGGGGCGGGCGGGGGGGGGTTTGCAAGCCGCACTTTAACTGTAAAAGAGCCACATGTGGCTCAAGAGCCAAAGTTTGGCCACGCATGTTATATTACTCCTGGGGGAATTCTGTGTCACTGCACATGCACAGAATTCAGGTTCCCTGCAGATCTCTTTGCTTCCCTGCAGAAAAATGATTTTCTGACAAGGAAGCAAAGGGAAGCTATAAGAGCGGTCACGCCCCTCCCTAGCAGCGGAGGCAGGTTGGTTTGGGCACCTGGAGCTGCTAGTAGAAACATAAATCACGGGGTTGGGCAGTCATGCGTGTGAGTGAGTGACTCTCTGTCCCTCTCGCTTACTATTGCGGCATGCTCAGTGTGGATGGCCAGGACTTCGGGATGTTTCTGTGGAGGTAGGAGTGGGGCAGGCTCTGTCATCTCAGGAGAGCAGAATGCATACTCCTGGGGGAATTCTGCACCACTGTGCAATGCAGAATTTTGAAGAAATTAACTTGCATGAAGAATTTCCTTTCCTCCACAGAAATGGGCTGCAGTGCTGCTAGCTGCCACTAGGGGTCACTGGACCCAGCAGAGCCCAGCTCACACAGAAGACACTGCTGGGGGGAGGGAGAGGGAGCTAGAGGGTTCCTGGCAGCTGCAGTTCCCAGCATGCCCTGAGGGAAGGAGAGGGTGGCATGCAGGAAACTCCATGCAAGCCTGGTACCAAGCATCAGGCTGTTACTCTTTCTGGATCCCAGGCTCTGGAGGGGGGTGGGTGTTTAGGCTGGGGGGGCCACAGCTGTGCTCTGGGGGTGAGGAGGTGTGGGTGTCTGGGCCAGGGGCCTCCCCACAAATGGACTTTGAAGGGGAGGGGGTCAGGCATATTGGCTGGGGGCAGTGTTCCCTCTAATTTTTGACATCCATGTGCAGAATGAATTTTGTTCTGTGCACCAATATGGAGGTGATGAGTGACACATCACCTCCATATTGGTGCACAGAACAAAATTCATGGGGTGGGGCCGAGGGGTTCGGAGCATGGGAGGGGGCTCAGGGCTGGGGCAGAGGGTTGGAGTGTGGGGGTTGCAGGCTCTGGAGTGGGGCTGGAGATGAGGGGTTCAGGGTGCGGGAAGGAGCTCAGGCCTGGAGCAGGGGGTGAGAGCTGTGACTGGGGGTGAAGGCTTTAGGGCGGGGCTGGGGATGAAGGGTTCAGGGCATGGAAGGAGGCTCAGGCCTGAGGTGCAGGGGGTCTAGACTCTGAGGCAGGGCTGGGAATGAGGGGTTTGGGGCTGCAGGCTACCCGGGGGTTGCATTGGGGAGAGAGGACTCCCTCCAGCCCCCTCTCACCACAGCAGCTTGAGGCAGGGGAGAGGCGCCTCCCCCCGGCTGCAGCAGCTCCAGGGGTCCTAGGTCGGGCTGAGGGAGGGGCTCCTGTCCCCCAGTCGCAGCAAGTCCGGGGCAAGTCCACGCTGGGGCTAGGGTGACCAGTTGTCCGGATTTTATAGGGACAGTCCCGATTTTGGGGTCTTTTTCTTATATAGGCTCTTATAACCCCCAACCCGATTTTTCACACTTGCTGTCTGGTCACTCTAGGCCCAGCAGAGAGGGCCACCTCTCCCCTGGCTGCGACAAGTCCGGGGCATCTCTCCCCATCACAGCCCTGAGCGGTGCTTAATAGGCAGCTGCGTGGCCATGCAGCTTAGAGGGAACATAGGCTGTGGGGGCCATGGCTGGGCTCTGGAGGGAAGGGGTTGTGGGTGTCTGGCCCGCCAGCTGGGCTTGAGGGGTGGGGTGGGGCAGGGCAGAGAAACAGGAACTGGGTTGTCATAGGGGTTTCTTTAACACTCTACTCCTGGGGGAATTTGTGTGTGTGTCTGTATTGCTACAGACATACTTGCGGACAGGTATTTTATAACAAGTTACAAAAATAATTGAAACTGGCATGATTATATAGCGATATATTAACAAATAACATTTGCAGAATTTTAAAATATTGTGTGCGGAATTTTTAATGTTTTGGAGCAGAATACCCCCAGGAGTATTATATGCATTAATGCTCAGCAACTTGAGGTTTAAGGTCCAACGCTAAATGCCTTGCCAGAGTGGGAGGCACTTGGGAGGAACCAGTACAAATGCTCCCAGCACCAGTAAGCACTGGGCCTGGGTCAGACGGATAATTGAAGAGGAATACTTACACTCACTCAGTTCAAGCACCCGAGTATCACTGTCCACCCACCGACTTTCACCATGGCTGCCCATTCACAGCACGCACCCACCTCCAATACCAGCACTACCAACCATCCCCTAACTCCCAGCACACACCCACCTGTGATGCCAGCACCCCAGCCTGCATGCCTACCTGTTTGCACTCCCAGCATCCCCTCCTGCACTCCCACCTACGCTAGAT